CCCCGTGCACATTCTGGGGTGATCACCGTGGCTACCCGCTTCCTGTCCGAGTGCACCGTGGGGCTCTGGGCCTTGCTTTCCAGGCTGCTCCTGCCCACCGAGTAGCTGCTTTGCATTATTTTCCCTTCGTTTTCCCAGGCTGGGTTTTCCCAGGCTGGGTCTCGTTGTGTCCCCTGCCTGCATTGCTCAGATCCTTTCAATGATTTCTCTGCTTTTGGTAGTGTTCGCAATGCCCCTCTGCTCATTAGCATCTACATATATAATTACAATTCACTTTTCAAGTGAGAATTTGGGGGATGGTGTAAAACTGAATTTCAGCTAAAGTGCATCTCGCTTGCCTTATCCGAAAGCTTTGCTCAGCAATTCTTCCGCAATAACTCCCGCGGAGCAAGCCAAAGCCCTCCATCCGCTGTGCTGCCCGTGGTGGGGCAGCAGCCCGTCGCGGTGGGTCCAGTCCTTCCTCTGGCCGTAACGTTCCGTGCTAAGGATGGGCACTGGGTTCATCCTGCACTCGGGGTTTATTGTCCTTTCTGGCAGAGGAATTCAGCGCCTGGTTTGCTCTGCCCATCACCAGGGCCCTGGTTTCTTCCCGGCACCGTCTGTGTGTCGGCGGGTTAATTGGTTTGTCTCGGCGCTGGCCACGCCAGCCAGGTGACCGTGTCTGTGTGGAGATGCTGTTTTTTGCTTTCCCTGCAGCTGTTTTTGCGAGGCCTCTGCCTCATTTGCATTTTTTTCTGGTTAAAAACAGTAATTTTGCCCTTTTGAGTCATCTTTATTTTTGAGCTATCATTAATTTTCTCTCCCTCCTCGTTTATTAATAGACCTTTTCACTTTTGTGCTGATTCTGCCCAGGTATATTTGTGAAATCCTTTGCATTCTCCTTAGCCCTCTGGCTGTTAACTCCTCCTGCAGCTTTGTTGTCCCTTTCCCCCCCTGCAGCTGCGAGGGGACACTGTCGGCTTACAAAACCGCTCCTGTCTGAAGCCTTCCCCTGCTCTTGTTCCAGGTATCTCCTAAGAGCATCACCAGTGAAAGGCACGACTGACATCTCTCTCTTTTCTCAATGCCTTTGATGCCTGCGCTGCCTCCTCCTCGCGTAGCCAGCGTTTGCTCCAGCTGCTGGAGAGCATCTTTCTCCTGGCAGCAGGGGACGGGGATGTCTTAAAGCCCACGGGGCTGCGGGCAGGCGTCAGACGGGACACCACTCTCTGCTCCTCGAAGTGCTTTGCTTCATGCTGGCAGCTCTGCGTTCTTGCGTTCGCTCTGCCTCTCCCCGCCAGGTGTCCGGGTCCTTCCCTGGCCCCGTCGCCCACTGCGTGAGCCGGGCGGGCTGCGCTGGAGCTCTGCTCCGAGCAGGAGAGGTGCACGGCAGCCAAAACCTCTGACAATCCTCACATGGGCTGCTGGGCGCCGGCATTGTGCAGTCGGTGAGCGTGCCGTGGCGCGTGCCTGGCATGGGATGAGCCCTGTGAGCGGTGGCTTCCCCAGCGGGGCTGTTTAGAATCTCCTTGTACCTAGCTTTTTATTAGTCTTGTTATTGTATTTATTTTTTTTTCCCCTGCTGAAGAGCCCAATCTGCGGCAGGCTGTAAAGAGTGACATTGCGGGTGCGCAAGCTGCATGCCGAGGCCGCATGTGGTCCCCCAAGGCTCCCGGTCCCCCGGTGCTGCTGTCCCCATTCACCGTCAAGGCTTTAAGGTTATCTGCTCTATTGACAGGAGTATGGATTGAGTGGAATTAGAAACCTCGGAGGCTAAAAATACAGCTCCCTGCCAGGAAATGCGGCAGCCTGCTGGGAGGGCGCTGGGTGGCACCGAAACTTTTCTGGGAACTGGCATGCTGTGTGTGAGCCCCAGAGTCCGGCATCCATGCCTATTCCCAAGCTCTCCTCACAGGGCCATGCCTGACACCTCTGCCCGCAGCGGGAGAGGAGAAGGCGTCGGGAGCCCTGGTTTTGCTGTCGGAAGCCCTGGCTTTGCCGTCGGAGCCGCGCCGTAGGTGTCCTTGCCTGCTGGGCAGGGATGCAGATGATGGAGGAACTTGGCGGCGCCCTGTGCAGCGTGAAGCAGGGTCTGCGGTGTGGTCAACCCTGTCTTGCTGCTGTTTGTGGGCTCCTTCCCTGGACAGGAGGAGGAGAGAAATTGGGGAGAAAACGCTGCCCGTCTGTGCTGCAGACGGTCGCTAGAGGAGAAATGCGGGCTGGCACGTCGCCCAAGCAGCTGCCCTGAGACCTTCCAAACTCGAGCCGTGAGCACGAGCTCCCCATGAGCAGCATGTTCCTGGGGACGGTGCCGGGGCAGCCCATGCCTCTGGGGACCTCTGGCCACCTCCTGGCTGATGCTCTGGCATCCCCCTGGCCATGCCAGGCTGTGCTGTGCTGGGCCAGCGGGCATGACGTCCTGGGCAGCTGGGCAGTGCTCCCACCACCACTTTTACCATGGTACTGTGGCGTGCCCGGTCCGGGGCTGCCTTTCCCTGCTTGGTGCCATGATGCCGAGCTGTTTTGCCAGCCAGCACCGAAAAGCAGGGCAGCAGCTGGGGCAGCACAGACCCTGTTGGGGATGCACTGCCCATCGCTGCCTGGCTCTGCGGGGCGAGCAGTGAGCTGGGTCCTGGAGTCTGGAAGTGGTGGGGTTGCCCTGCCCAGCGTAGTGTGAATGAGACCCGAAGCCAGGGCCGTTGCTGTGCCTCCCAGAGCATGAAATCGGTCGGTGCCGACGCGTGGCCGTGGCATCGATGAAGTGTGTAATAGGCTGGGGGGCAGGAGCTGTGCTGCCCTGGGGGGGGAAAAAACAAAGTGCTGCAGCATCCTTGCCAGCTTGGGCTGACCACGACCTCGCCGTGCTTCTCCCCAGGCTGTGGGAAGTGGCTCTTCCCCAGCAGCACGCAGCAGGCAGAGGCAGGGCTGTGCGGGGAGAGGGTGCTCCCGGCACCAGCCGTCTGGCTAATGCTGCACCATCTGCTTTGGAGGGTGAGGCAAGGTGAATGGCAAGCTTTCGAGGAGCCCATAAATCGTGCGTGCAGAGGCTCTTCTTGGAGGTGACTCGGGATGTGCATGGAGCAATGCTGTTCCTGGCGGCTCCCCGTGCTGGAAATCCTCGGGAAGCAGAGCCTGGGGGGATCAGTGATGCCCCGCAAGGCGTTCGGTGATGTCCCATGGGCTGAGGCTCTGGGCTTGGCCTGGAAAAGTCTTTTAGCAGGACGTGCTTTGGTGCGGTTGGAAGCGCTGCGTGGCTGGAAATGGTGGTGCCGGGGGAGCTCCTGATGCCCCCTCCCCTCCGGCACCGAGAAAATGCATAACGCCTCGGTGTTGAAAAATGACTAATCCAGACCTCGGAGGGTTTGTAGGATACGTTCCTTTCTCGCGGTCGATAAAGATAAAGGGGATCGTTCTGCCAGCGAAATTAGTGTATCAAAGAGGGGGGAAAAAAAATAACAAGAGCTGCGGAGACAGAAATATGGTTGGGGCAGCCCTGGGCTGGTGTCCAGCATCACCGCGGCGCCCGTGCCTGCGCCTCGTGCCGCGGAGGTGGGCAGGAGCGCACCTCTGCGGCACG